GATACTCTGATAGATGCACACACACTCAGGCAGGCAAGTAGATGTACACTCAGGTATATGGATAGGCGACAGGTAGCCTCACGCAGAGTGGAGAGCACACGTCCATCAATACTTCACCACACGAGTCGAAGAGCCACACGTACCTCCATGGTAGCAACTTGCAGAGCAGGGTGCAAAGATCTCACAGCGTCTCTCGCACAGTCCGGGTCTCTGCGTGCGGAGCAGGAGACGAAGGCGAGGATCACAAAGAGTCGAGAGGGCGTGAGGGCTCCCAGATCTCAACATGAGTCACAACGCGGGCTTACATCCTCACCATGAACCCACATTGTCAACACAGACTCACATCATCACCACTCACAACACGAAATACAAAAACAACAACAACCGACATTCGCCACTAAGTAGGGGTGATGACACCACGGCACCTGTGCCGGGCCAGGTGCACTTTTAGTCCACGTGAAGTGTCGAAGGCTGACAAGACGTCACGGGATAGACCCAGGTTCCAAAGGTTGGCTGAGATGACTGGTAGATACACCAGCTGTATCCCCAACTGTGCCAACTTGTTGAATTTTATCCGCTACTCGTTGTGAGCGTCACTCCTCTGTCCTCAGTTGTTGTTGGAAGGCGACTGCCTCCTACTGCCCGGTAGGATCCTTCACGAGCTTCCTCGTGAAGGATGCTATCCACACCACTGATACCAGTCTTCTGCAAGTCCACTCAGCTCCACATCCTCCCATACAGCATCAGTCCATATTTTGACAGCCCATGTCGTGCCCGTTTAGCCCCCTTTATGCAACCAAAATAAACTGCTTGGGTATGCGGTCTACAAGACCCAGCCAATGCAGCCTTGCCTGCCGGACGAACTTACTGGTGGGAATGTCTCCAGATCTTTCAAGCATTTGTGAGCCCCTCACACAATCCAGCCTGGTTAAACCCAGGATGGATCGTACAATCAACAACACCACCATCACCAACAATACCACCAACACCACCACCACCACCACCAACAAGACTATCACCACCATCAACACCATAACCAAAAACATCACCAATACCACCCCCATCAACATCACCTCCATCAACACCACTAACATCACCACAACCAACACCACCACCAAGACCACCAACACGACCACCAATAACACCACAATCAACAACACCACCATCAACACCACGAACACCAACAATACCACCACCATCAACACCACCAACACCAACACCACCACCAAGACCACCAACACAACAACCACCAACACCACAATCAACAACACCACCATCAACACCACCATCAACATCACCAACACCACCACCAACACCACCACCAACACCATCACAAACACACCAACACGACCACCACAACCACCAACAACACCACCATCACAAACAACACCACCAAGACCACCACCAACAACACCACCAACTCCACCAATACCACCACCATCAACACCACCAATACCACCACCATCAACACCAACAACACCACCACCACTAACAACAAAGATAAAGATCCCCCTTATAGCTGAAATAGACTGTTGGGGCAAGTGCTGTTAGCCAGCAGTACCTATGAAGGGCAGAACGGCACACGAGGGGGTGGGTGGCCAGCACCACGCCCGGCCGCCTTTGTGTTTACACACACACAGACTCACACACACACAGACTCACACACACACAGACTCACACACACAGACTCACACACACAGACTCACACACACACAGACTCACACTCACACAGACTCACACACACGCAGACTCACACACACGCAGACTCACACACACGCAGACTCACACACACGCAGACTCACACACACACAGACTCACACACACACAGACTCACACACACACACAGACTCACACACAGACTCACACACACACAGGCTCACACACACACAGACTCACACACACACAGACTCACACACACACAGACTCACACACACACACAGACTCACACACACACAGACTCACACACACACACAGATTCACACACACACAGACTCACACACACACAGACTCACACACACACAGACACACACACACACACAGACTCACACACACACAGACTCACACACACACAGACTCACACACACACAGACTCACACACACACAGACTCACACACACACAGACTCACACCATTTCTCACCTTCGCCAGATGCTCCCCCGACTCTCTAACGGACAAACTGCCTGAGGGAGACACGAGGGGGCGGTACCAAGTGACCACGCCCACTATGACGTCGCAGACCTAAGCCCCTCCCACCCACCGGAGCTCCTCCCCCCACCGGAGCCCCTCCCCCTCAGCGGAGCTCCTCCCCCCACCGGAGCCCCTCCCCCCCATGCCCAACCCCTCGCCCCGCCCCTTCACCCCCCTCGCCCCGCCCCTCCCCCCGCTGCTACTTCCGCTGAGGCCGGGGCGAGTGGAGGCGGCGCTGTGCATTGTGGGTGGCGAGCGGACGGTTTGGATTCCCGCTCGCGGCCACCGCCGGCGGCTCGCTGGCTGGGCCTCCTCTAGGTCGACTCAGCCCGAACAAGGCGAGCACCTTGCACGCTGTGGACGCAGCAGCAGCAGCAGTGGCGGTGGTGGGGGGGGGGCAGAGGAGGCGCCTGCTGAGTTCACGGCCCTGCTGCTGCTGATGATGATGAGGAGAGGCACTGCCAGATTGTGGCTGATGGGATGAGTTACATTTAGTTGTTTGTGTCTCTGGAGGGGCGGATTTGTTGTCGTGGCAGAAATGGCCTCGACTAGAGGCCGCGATGTGGAGTGTTTGGTCTACTCTTCCACGCTGGGCGTGCCCGCACTTTACCCCGATACACACGCGGGGCGTGAGCTCACTGGGCTTGCAATGCAGAGGTGCAGGTTCGAGTCCATTTCACACTCAGCCACTCATTAACTCACCTACTCAGCCACTCACCCACTCAGCCAATCACTCAGCCAACTCAACCACCCACTCAGCCACTCACCCACCCACTCACCCACTCAGCCACTCACTCAGCCACTCACTCAGTCACTCACTCACCCACTCACTCACCCACTCAGCCACTCACTCAGCCACTCACTCAGCCACTCACTCAGCCACTCACCCACAGAGGGATAACGACCCTTCATGCAGTGGTTGTGTAGTATCTGTGTCAACGTTTTTGTTGTTTGGTTATGGTGGTGGCTATGGTGGTGGTTATGGTGGTGGTTGTGGTGGTGGTTATGGTGGTGGTTATGGTGGTGGTTGTGGTGGTGGTTGTGGTGGTGCTGGTTGTGGTGGTGGTTGTGGTGGTTATGGTGGTGGTGGTTATGGTGGTGGTTATGGTGGTGGTTATGGTGGTGGTGGTGGTTGTGGTGGTGGTTGTGGTGGTTATGGTGGTGGTGGTTATGGTGGTGGTTGTGGTTATGATCATGGCTTTAGTTTTGGTTGTATCGGTGGTTGTAGTGGTGGTGGAGGTTGCAGTTGTGGTGTAGGTGGTTATGTTGGTTGTTATGGTAGTTGTGGCTCTGGTTGTGGTGCTTGTGGTGGTTTAGGTTGTGATTATAATTGTGGTTGTGTAATTTGTGGTTATATGTGCGGCTGTGGTGTTTGGTTATATTTGTTATAATTGTGTAGGTTGTAGTGGTCATAGTTGTGGTGTAGGTGGTTACGATGGTTGTTATGGTAGTTGTATTTTGAACTTCAATTGCACCCTACCCAGCCGACCGTGCTAATTGGAGGTATGATTATCGTTGCGGTTATTTATGGTTGTTTTGGTTTTAGTTGTGGTGGTGATTGGTTGGTGCAGGTGCTGGGATGAAGGATGCGTTCCGTGTCCTCTGCCCATGCGGCTCCAACAACGATTGCTCCAGCCAGCACTGCCGCCCCTGTGGTCACATGACCTTGCCTCCCAGCATACCTTGCGGTCGTCATTGATTCTGGGCCATCTTTACCTCCTGCATCTCTATAGGAGCTCTCGCTTCCTCCACACACTCTCCTCCTACCTCTGCTCGCTCTCCCCGTGTCTCCATCCCCCCTCTTCTTTCTGGATGGTCCAGGTTCAGGGGTCAGGAGTTGACTGGCTGCACTCTGACCTTTGACCTTGGCTGTCACCCGAGTGGGATTATCTAACAGCAGTCAACCCATAGTATCAGGATCTGTCCCGTGACCTCCTCCTATACCTAGCCTGGAACAGCAGTCAACCTGTGGCACCCAGATCTGTCCTGTGACCTCCTGCGGCACCTAGCCTGGCACAGCAGTAAACCCATGGCACCTGGGTCTGTCCCATGACCTCCTCATCCTGCAACTAGCATGGCACGTAAGTAAACCCATGGCACCTGGTTTGTTGTGATGACATTACCGCCACGTAGTGGCGAATTGCGGCCATTGTCGTTGTGAGTTTGTGGGCTTGTGTGTGAGTAATGGTGATTGAGTGTGTGACTATCATGTCGTGTGCGTGTGAGTTGGATGGTAGGGGTGTGTTTATGAGGGTGAGTGTGTGTGGGTGTGTGAGTATCATGGTGAGTATGTGAGTGATGGTATGTGACAGTGTGAGTTTGATGGTGATTGTATCATGGTGAGTGCAAGCAATACTGTGAGCTTGACTTATTTCCCCCCCCCTCCCTTTACCCACTCTTCCTCCCTCTCCCTGCCCTCCCCTCACTCTCCCCCAACCCTCTACTTCCCTGCCTCTATCCCTCTCGGCGTGGCCGAGTGGTTACTTCTAAAGAATTATGGAACTCTTTATCCCTCTCCTTTCTCCCGTAACTACCTCGCCTGTTATACAGGAGATCGTGGGTTTGATCCCTACCCTCACATCTGCTATATATTTCGAGTTTGCATGTCTCTCTCTCCCCGTGGTCGCGTTCAGAGTGTTTGGTTTCTATAAATGTCGACGTGATGATAGGCCACTTCGTTGACCTATCATTTGTGGCATTTTCCCGTCTGAAGAAGAGCTGTGTAGCACGGTGGGCATTACCTGGAAAAATTTAAATAGTTTAGTTTCCTCTTTTCCTCCTCCCTTCCTCCCTCTCCACACCCATCCCCCCCAGCACAACAACAAGAAGCAGGAGGAGGATGGTTTGTTTCCCAAGCCGAGCACTTCCGGGTCCACCTTCATGATCCTCCCTCTGCCCCGGGGGTGGGGGCGGGGAGATCCCCTTGAACAGGGTTACGGTACCCCACCCACATACATACGGGGTTGCGGTGCCCCCACTACACATACGCACAGGGGTACGGTACCCCCCACTCACATGCCAGGCTATGTGCACCACACAGAGACCCAAAGACTCGCACATAGATCCATAGACTCGCATAGACCCATTGACTCACACAGAAACCAATTAACTCAAACAAAGACCCTGTCGAAACACGGACAATATATTTACACAAAGACCCATAGACTCATACAGACTCATCCACTTGTGCACCCACCCACTCAACGACTCACAGGCTTACTCGCTCACCCAATCTCTCACCTACTCAGCCACTCACTCAGAAACTCACTCAAGAACTCGCTCACCCATTTACCCACCCATTTGCTCACCCACTCGTGCATCCACTCACAGAATCACTCGTAAACTCACTCACTCACATGCTCAGAAACTGACTCACAAAAGAATTCACCCACTCACTCGTGCACTCACTCGCCCACTTACCCATGCATGCACAGATTCACCCACTTACTTACTCGTTCACAGACTCCCTCTCTGATAGACTCGCTCATAGACTCACTTGCTCACAGACTCAATCACTCACAGACTCACTTAGAAGCTCTCACCCACTAACTTATTCATAAACTCACTCAACTACCGACCCACTTACTTAAAAACTACTTCACTTATCCGCACCCACTCGCTGACCTACTTATTCATCCACTCGCTCAGCCACTCACTGACCAACTCACTCACAGACTCAGTCGCTCACTCATCCACTCACTCCGAAACTCATTCATCCACCTACCACTCAATAATTTCATTCATTCACTCATCCACTCACTCAACCACTTCACTCATTCAACAACCCACTCACTCACCCACTCACTTGGAGACTCTCTCACCCACTCACTCACCTACTCGCCCAGTCTATTAGCCACTCATTCAGAAACTCACTCACCTACTCACTCACCCACAATCGATCAATCACTCATATACTAAATCACCCACCCACACACACACTCACCCACTCTTCCACTCACTTAAGAACCCACTCCCTCAACCACCAACTTAGAATATCACTCCTCCACTCACCTACCCATTTACTCACCCACTCGCTCACCCACTCATTCAACAACTTTCTCACTCGTGGACTCACTTGCTTATCTACTCACTCATCCATTCACTCATCCACTCGCTCATCCACTCACTCACCCACTCGCTCACCCACTCGCTCACCCACTCGCTCACCTACTCGCTCACCCACTCGCTCACCCACTCGCTCACCCACTCACTCACAGACTGACTCAGAAACTCACTCATCCAAGCATTCACTCACTGACTCACTCACCCATTCATTTAACCATTCACTCACAGACTCACTCAGACGCACGAAGAAGCTCACTAACCCACTAACCGATTCAGAAACTCAGTCAACCACCAAATCACCTACTCAAAAACTCCTTTACTCATCCGCACTCACTCACTAACCTATCTACTCATTTACTCAATCAGCCACACTTACTCACTAACTCGCTCACTCATGCACTCAGAAAATCACTCATTCACTCACTTAGAAACTCCTACAATCACTGACCCACTCGCTCAAAAACTCACTCATCTACTCGCTCACTTTCTTATTTACTCACCCACTCCCTCACCAATTCACTCGTTTCCCCACTCATTCCTTCAGTCACTCACTCATTCAGCAACTCGGTCAATCATTATCTAATTCAATCACTCACCCATTCACTCGGAGACTCACTCGCTCACTCATCCTCCACTCACTCACCCACTAACCCACTCAGAAACTCATTCAGCTACTCACTCACCACTCATTTACCCACTCATCCACTCATTGAATAAATCACCTACTCGCCCACTTTCCTAACCACTCAATCAGAAACTCATTCACCTACTCACCCACACACTCACTCACCCACTTAAACTCGGGAGTGGGTGGTTTTAGAGTTCAGTGTTAATCATTGGGACTCCCATAGGGTTCAGTGTTGCTCACTGGGTCTCCCATAGGGTTGAGTGTTAATAAATGGGTCTCCCATAGAGTTCAGTGTTAATCACTGAGGCTCCCATCGGATTCAGTGTTAATCACTGGGTCTCCCATAGGGTTCAGTGTTAATCACTGAGGCTCCCATCGGGTTCAGTGTTAATCACTGGGGCACCCATAGGGTTCATTGTTAATCACTGGGCCACCCATAGGGTTCGGTGTAATCACTGGGGCTCCCATAGGGTTGAGTGTTAATCACTGGGTCTCCCATAGTGTTCAGTGTTAATCACTGGGGCTTCCATAGAGTTCTGTGTTAATCATTGGGGCTCCCTTAGGGTTAATGTTAATAACTGGGACTTCCATAGGGTTCAGTGTTAATCACTGGGGCTCCCATGGTGTTGAGTGTTAATCACTTGGTCTCCCATAGAGTTGAGTGTTAATCACTTATAGATTCGAAGCTTTCGTGACTGCAAGGATTCATACTTTTAGTTCTTTCGGTAAAGTCACGTAGGTAAAAAATGAAATTAAAATTTTTACCTACATGACTTTACCGAAAGTACTAAGAGTATGTTAATCACTTGGTCTCCCATAGGGTTCAGTGTTAATCACTGGGGCTCCCTTGGGGTTAATGTTACTCACTCCCATAGAGTTCGTTGTTAATTATAGATTTGAAGTTTTCGTGACTGCAAGGGTCCATATTCTTTGTTTTTTTCGGTAAAGTCACGTAGGTTACAAAATAAAATAAAAATAAATTAAATCACGACGTTTCGGAGGCAACACAAGCTTCCGTCTTCAGGTGGCACCGTCACAGCAGTAATTTTGCTGACGGTGCCACTTGAAGACGGAAGCTTGTGTTGCCTCCGAAACGTCGTGATTTCGTTGTTAATCACTGGGGCTCCCATAGGATTCAATGTTACACACTGAGTCTCCCATAGGGTTCAGTGTTAATCGTTGGGTCTCCCAAAGGGTTCATTGTTAATCACAGACCCATAGATTCCTAAAAACCTAACCCTATAAACACCTAAGCCTCTATACCCCTAACCCTCGAAACTCCTATACTCCGAAAACTATAACCCTCAAATCCCCTTCACCCTTAACACCCTAACCTTTTAATCCCTTAACCCTTAAACCCCTCACCCTCTAAACCCTTCACCCACTAAACCCCTCACCCTCTAAACCCCTATGCCTCTAAATCCAACCCCCTAACCCTTTGAACCCCTAACTTTCTCCAATCCCATAATAAAGGGTTTTTTTTGCGGTAAGATCGTGTGAATATAAAGTGTCTTAAAACCCATCACCACACCGATACAGCCAATTAATAAAGTTTGTCACGTGAACAAAAAGTGCCAATTAGTTTCTACTTTAGCACATCGGTGTGTTGGAGACTAACCCAAATTAACCTTTATTATGAATAACCCCTCAACCTCATAACTCCCCCTGCGCCACCCCCCATGTCCTCCCTCACCCCCCTCACCCCCCCCCCAGCTGCTACTTCCGTTGAGGCCGGGGCGAGTGGAGGCGGCGCTGTGCATTGTGGGTGGCGAGAGGCTGATTTGGATTCCCGCTCACGGCCACCGTCGGTGGCTCGTGGCGGCTCGCTGGCTGGGCCTCCTCTACGTCGACTCAGCCAGAAGCAGGTGAGAACCAAGCGCGGTGTGGACACATCAGCAGTGGCGGTGGTGGGGGGGGAGACAAAGGAGGCACCTGGCCCACAGGTGCCTCCTTTGTCTCCCTCCTCTCTCTCCCGGTGTCTCACTCCTCTCTCTCCCGGTGTCTCCCTCCTCTCTCTCCCCATGTCTCCCTCCTCTCTCTCCCCGTGTCTCCCTCCTCTCTCTCCCCGTGTCTCCCTCCTCTCTCTCCCCGTGTCTCCATCCTCTCTCTCCCCGTGTCTCCCTCCTCTCTCTCCCCGTGTCTCCCTCCTCTCTCTCCCCGTGTCTCCCTCTTCTCTCTCCCCGTGTCTCCCTCCTCTCTCTCCCAGTGTCTCCCTCCTCTCTCTCCCCGTGTCTCCCTCCTCTCTCTCCCCGTGTCTCCCTCCTCTCTCTCCCCGTGTCTCCCTCCTCTCTCTCCCGTGTCTCCCTCCTCTCTCTCCCCGTGTCTCCATCCTCTCTCTCTCCCCGTGTCTCCCTCCTCTCTCTCCCCGTGTCTCCCTCCTCTCTCTCTCCCCGTGTCTTTCTCCTCTGTCTCCCCGTGTCTCCCTCCTCTCTCTCCCCGTGTCTCCATCCTCTCTCTCCCCATGTCTCCATGTCCCCTTCTCTCTAGGTGGTGCAGGTTCAGGAGTTTACTGGCTGCACTCCGACCTTTGGCCTTGGCTGTCGCCCAAGTGGGATTGTCGCACAGCAGTCAACCCACAGCATCAGTATCTGTCCCATAACCTCCTCCTGCACCTAGCCTGGCACAGTAGTCAACCCATGACACCTGGCTCTGTCCAGTGACCTCCTCCTGCACATAGCCTTGCACAGCAGTCAACCCATGGCACCTGGGTTGTTGTGATATCACCATCATGTAGTTGCAAATTACGGCTGTTGTCGTTGTGAGTTTGTAGGTTTGTGTGTGAGTAATGGTGCGTGTGTGACTTTCATGACGTGTGTGAGAGTAGGATGGTAGGGGTGTGTATCATGGTGCGAGTTTGGGTGTGTATCATGGTGAGTGTGGGTGTGTGAGTATTATGGTGAGTGTGGGTGTGTGAGTATTATGGTGAGTATGTGGGTGTGTTAGATGGCTGGCAATGTTGATGGGTGGTGATGATGATGCAAGCCTTGTGCTCGAGAATGGCACACTGAAACTAATATCATGTAGCTACTTCTGAGTACCCTTCAAGTGCTGTCTGGTCCACATTGTAAAGGGCAGGACTTTCCCACCTGTTCTTTATTTAAGAGAAACGTTGGTCACAACAATGTTCTTACTTCTTACAGCTGGAATTTATCCTAAGTACATGGAGAACCACATTGCAGCCATGTGATAGTTGATGTTGTGCAGTGAATGATGACCGGGCTGAGACCATTGACTCGCTAGACTTGAGAATCTGCATTGATCACAGGTGACTGCCTGGATTCAATCCCAGGTACTCCGTGGTGCCAATTCAGTGCTATGACCACAAGGTACATGGGCCACCTCTAAACACCCCCCACGTTAAAGACATAAGCAGCAACCTGTTTAGTGAGCAGCAGCATTCTTTGAATATTTTTCCAAAGCAATTGGGATTGTGGAGCAGTGGCACAGTCCTGCATTTGCTTTCTCTTTAATCCACCAAACGCAACTTGCCGCTCGATTGTGGCACACCCATTTTTACACTTGTTTCAACTGCTGTGGCAGATGGTGGAGCAGAGGGGCAGTGGAGCAGATTGGCAGTGGAGCAGGACAGTGGAGCAGAGCACAGTGGAGACGTGGGGCAATAGAGCAGAGGATTAATGGAGCAATGAGGCAGTGGAGCAAAGGAGCAGTGGGGCATTGGAGCAGTGGATCAGTGGGGCAGATGAGGGGTGGATTTATCGTGAAGAAGGCGAATCACCTCAATATGTGCTCTGAAGAAGAATAATTTCCCAAAACGTCTATCTATATCCTTGTCCCGCCGCACAAACAGCCGGGACACCGCACACACGAGCCAAGGCACATTAAACCAACCCAGGCAGCACTCGCAAGCAATGCAACATTACGTTGTGTCCTCATGAGTTGATTTCACAAAGTTTATAGTAACAACAACAACAAAAATATTGATCCTAATTCTTAACCGGGTGGCCTTAAGTCTTGGCACGTGCAGGTTTTGTTCATTGTCTGCATCAGACCCCTCCAGCTGTCTCATTCTGGGTCAGCTGCCCCTTACATGTCCTGGAAACCATGGCAAGGTCATCGCATGAGGACCGCCTGGATGAAAACCAGCATGGAAGGGGCCCAGTGTGGGGCTGGCTATGCTAATGGAATAGTCCCATGTGTGTGTGTGATGTGAGGTCTCCTGGCAGCAGTCATTCTCCGCTGCAGTGCTGTCATCTGCTGCTCAGTTTCATTCCCCAGCTGTGGTCCCAGTGGCACCGTGGGTCGTGTGGTGATAGCAGTCACGGTTGGCACCGATCCACGACCACCACCCCTATTGGGCGGTGGACCTGCCTCCACAAAGTAGCATGTGGCGGAGGAGTGAGGTGAACGCTCTCGCCATGCGAGCGAGGCCCCCTCGCTTCCTCTTCTTTTCGTGCATCTCCACCTGCACCTCCTCCATCTTCTCCTCTGTCTCATCCTCCTCCATCCCCTCTTCTTCATCCTCCACCGCCATCTTCTCCTCTACCTCCTTCTCTTCCTGTGCCACCTCCGTCTTCTTCTCCATCTTCTCCTCCTCCACTAGCACCATCTCTTCCTCCATATTCTCCTCCTCACCCTCCTGCACCACCATCTCCTCCACCCTCTGCTCTTCCTCCTCCACCACCATTGTTTCCGCTTTGTCCATCGTCTCCATCTCCTCCACCACGACCATCTGTTCATCCCTTGTTGTCTCCTTGTTCTCCATCTCCGTATTGTCTTTATCCTCTCCCTCTGTGCTCTCCTCCATTGTCGCCATCACAATCTCGTCCTCCTTTGCCTTCTCTTCCTCTGATTTCTCCTCCGTCTCTACCTCATCCTCCATCTCCTTCACCTCTTCCTTCGTCTCCTTCTCCACAACCTCTGACTTCGCTTCAAAGGCCTGGACGAGTGAGGAGGAGGGCTGCACTTGCTCAGATCTGTGAAGAGACAAACACGACATCGTTCCACCTTCCTGCTACGGTAGACATTGCCATCTCCCCATCGTCCGTGGGTGGAATGTGTGGCAGATTAATTCGAGCTTAATACAAACAGCAATAACGACATGGCCAGTGAGTGTGCTTCATATTGGTGCTGTCATTCTCATGGGGCAAGGCTATCATTGAGATAGGTTTAGCTGTGTCTCACACAGACTGTTGTGGTTTCACAGTAGTGGGTGGCGTTGCTGTGTCAATTTAGCTGAATCATTTGTAGTGACATTTTTCTTTCTATGTGTATTCTAATTGATCCCTTGGATATAATGGCCTACGCATTTAAAATGACATCGGTGGAAATCATGACTGTCCACTGTAATGGAATGGGTGTGTATCTTTGTGGTTAATGCAGCGGCAGTAATAGCCAGGGTGGGAAGCAAGATCTGAACTGTAAGTGGTGAGCGATGAGTGTGCGACCCTTTGGCTGCTTCAACCCATCCACAATGTCTATCAAATATCCGATAGTGATTTGAGGTCGACAGAGCCGCCTCCCTTGACGTCGAAGGCATCTCAGAGTGCATTGAGCGCGATGAGCCACTCACATCTCGCATCTCTCAGCTCAACGCATTTGAAATTGGACACCCCTCCCAGTGGTCGCTGTCTCTGTGCATTACAAGGCAACTTGGCAGCTGGCCTGGAAACAGGCAATTATTACGGTGGGTGGAGGGTTAAATTGTGAAATATGGCCGCATCGTTATCTGTCTCACTCAGAAACCAATTATGTAAAGTAAATCTGTCCACAGTATAGCGCAATGTACACGTGGGGTTTGCAGTGTCTGTATTTTTTGTGAGTGCGGCAGGGCTGGAGCACCTATGCCTCAGCAGCAGAAGGGACCTGGGTTTGATTTCCACGTTGGGCCACGTTATCTGTGTGGAATGTGCTGCCCCCTGTTCTGGGAGGATTCTGCAGCTTTCTCCCTGTAACTGAACCCACACAAGCAATGCAAATTGCTCAATTTGGATCACAAACAGCAGCAACTTTGTTACCAACTGCGAGCAAACTTGACAGGACCCTCCTGAAAAAAAGTCTTGAGGTTTAGTGAGGCTCATCCTGCGTAAGTGAAGTACCCTTGAAGACGCTTGGACACCGTTGTAAGGCACACGTTTTTATTTACACAATGGTTGTACAGCACTAGAGGGGTGTATCGGCCTGTTGTATCCTAACCCTTCTTCCATAATTGAGAGTAATAATATTTGATGATTTTTATATATTATCTTTTTACTTTTTTTAATGAGTGAAACACACTAAAGCGCACCAAACTGCAAAACACCAGGTGTTGTTAAGTAATGAACGAGAGGAGGGCTAGGATGACAGAATTGCAACCTTGCTTCAAGGCAAAGGCAGTGAAAGGAAGCAGAGGCGCCTTTGTCTAAGTCATAACCACAGAAAGCCAGGAATCATCACTGATTGTGTGTTAGGGATTCCGAGCTAATTAGAACACGTGCACACAGAAAGGGAGGTAGAAGCACGCCTTGTTCTCCTGCAGCTGAGGAAACAAAGATAAACCCAAAAAGGCCTTGGACCTGAAATTAAGAATAACATTCCCAGAGCAGAAGGTTGGAGGGCCACAGGGAGCTGATTTAAAAGAGTGTTGTATATCTCTCAAGGCGGGCAAGACCCAGCTGAATAACAAGCCTGCGGGGGTCACCAGAAGTTCGCATTCGCCTAGTTAAGACAAAAAGCTCAATTATTCTGTATTGCTATTAAAGTAACGTTAAAGTCGGAATTTAACAACAGGGTAGGCTAAAGTTATTGATATTCACACCCACTCCAATTAAACCAGGCCACAAGTTACGCCTACTGAACCATCACCATCATTAAGTCAAATGAAATGTTATTTCCATACTTTAATACTTTCTATGCAACTCGACCCGAAGCATATGACAATCAGAACCTTCCTAAGTCAAAATTGAATCGCACCCAGACAGGAGCGAATATATCATATATAAGGTTGAAGAGGGAAGGAAATTAAGAGCACGGCGGCAGACAAAAACCAGAACTGACTCCAAGGTTCAACCGCCCTCACCTCAGGAGTGACGGAAATTAATGAGGCCTTGAACAACGGCCAGCTGGACGGCAACAACAACGGCGAGCAGAGATAGGGTGGGGCAAAGACTGCGGGGCTATGAAATGCAACTTCGTGTCAGTAAAGCTCTGACAAACAAGTTAAGTTAAAGACATCACAATACATAATATCTACATAACATCAATGTTAACGCTATTCACCGTAAACTAAAGTAAAACTTATGAAAAGCCAGGATAACGGGATGAATCACCACCAGGTCGAATATAATACATAAAAAAAAAACGATGTTAAACCCAGGGTCGGAGAGAAAGGGAGATCCCGGCCGTCTTTGTATCCCCGCAGCGCGGGATAGGAGTGTGTATACGCTCGGGGAAACACCTCCACTTGAGTCAAGCACCACGATGGGAAACGACAGACTTTAGGTTACATACAGAATCATAACTGTGAAATAGTAAGGGACAAATGTTAACTTAAAACTTTTTAACCATTTCTTTGTGCGCCGGGTCGGAGAGAGCGTTGCCCCTCCCTCCAGGTGGTGCGAACAAAGACGCCTATGAGACATTTGTAACGTCTGTGTTTTGGGTTCATGAAGAAGGCCAGACAGAGAGACGACCTCGAGGCAATTTGTAACATCTGATTGTTTGCTCGTGGGTTTATGGAGGGAGTGTGACAACGGAATATACCGTGGGTGATGCACACAAGGACATACGGACGTACGGACACACACATGGACACACCTGCCTACGGACAGATCCTGACACAAAAAAAAATCGAAAGAAGTCCCGCCTTGTGGGCGGGATCCAGGGGGATTTTTCGGCATAAAGTAAAGGATCCTGAGCATTGGAAACCAGTGCGACGGGAGGGTCGACTCAGGAGCGAGTGCGACCAGCGGGTCCACTCGGGAGTGCGACGGGAGGGTCGACTCAGGAACGAGTGCGACCAGAGTGGGTCCACTCAGGAGTGCGACCAGCGGGTCCACTCAGGAGTGCGACCAGAGGGTCGACTCAGGAGCGAGGGCGACCAGCGGGTCGACCCAGGAGCGAGCTCGACCGGGAGGGTCGACTCAGGAGCGAGCTGCGACCAGCGGGTCGGCTCGACCCATCTTCAGCTCGTCAACCTCTGCCGAGCCGGAGGTCTCTGCTGCCGCCGGAGTGGTGAGCGTCGCGGTTTGGCGACGATCCAGCGCTGCACGCTGCGAGCGAGTTGTGGGCGCCACCTACCGACCGGGTTCCGAACTGCGACAGCGTATCAACAGCCATCCGAACTCACCACGGTGACAGGGGAGCGACTGATACGTATGACGCGCACCGCCCCCTCACCACACGACCACCAGGCGTCTGTTTGACATAAAGAATCGACCCCGAACACTGACTATTCAAGACAACTCTTACCACTCAAACACACTCGAACCCATAAGCCATCCGTGGCTGGGAAGGCATCACAACGAGACCGAGTGATGGCCATCCGTCGTTTATAAGAGTATTCGTAATTTTTATCTTTAATATTTAGTGGGCTGTACTCTTAATCGCATAAATTCCCAACAGATCCATCAATACGAACTGATTCTTGGCACCTCCTTCCGCCGAGCCACGCTCACGTGGGGAGTGGTGGCCCACCGGATCCTTATCAGGTGATCTGGTCCCCAATTAGTAAACTTGGTATAAGATAACGATCCTCGGAAAAGGAGCACCGTCGCAGGCCCTTACTCCGAGCCGTTCTGTGGTCAGATAACCTGCCGATGTATCTGTTGAGATTGGTGCCTTTAAGAATAATAACTGTTTTGATTGTGTTTTTTTATCGCCGTATAATCTTTCAAGTATCTTTCAGTCATAATCGCCGCACGTACTCGCATCCTCTACAGAATATTCAACTGTCCCGTGACCCAAGGTGTTAACAACGTGATAAGGGTTGCGTATGATCAATAAGGAGTGCGGTACTGCGTGAACAATATTGAGTATAATCATTCATTAACGTTAAGGTTTTCTTAGCATAGTATTTGCATATTTTAACGACTCTCTCTCTCACTAACAACCATCGCGTTATGAACAACATTGAGAATAATCATTCATTAACGTTAAGGTTTTCTTAGCATAGTATTTGCATGTTTTAACGACTCTCTCTCTCACTAACAACCATCGCGTTATGCGGGATCCATGTGCCGTTGTCAAAGTGAAATCAGACAATCGTTGATGATACCGTATTGATGCCGTGTTGACGTTCCGGGATTGAGAGTTCGCATACTATATCATAGTTAAGGTTGAATTAGTAATAAATTGATCAATACAGAAGTGGTTGTGTGATTCTTTCCTGAAATCTATGCATAAGATCTGCTTCTGCGTTGAGATCTGAACTTGGTGACCTTAATAAACACACTAATACATACTCAGTAAATGTTAAAGCGATAACGGGGTGAACCGGGGACCTAAAAATATAACCACGAATAAACACTCTGGGAATGTTAAAGCGAGAATGAGACGAACCTAGACAACGATGCCGAGTTAATCTAAGTTAATCTTGCATACTTACACCACACCTGCATAACTGCATACGATTAATTGCCTTATTCCGATCGATAACCCACCCTCGTCACCGAGGCGGGGTCTGGTTATCATAACGACTTGCATTATCATAATTACACCCACTCGCATAATTAATACGATTACCTCTCGAATTGGCATAATTAAAATGTGCATAATTACATAATTAACATATTTCCGGATAATTACACATTTGGCCAAATTTCATTAAATTATTATTATTTTCACTGAATATTCATAACCCACATATACAACATAATAATTTCACCCACGCACGCATACAACATAACAAATTTCATAACCCAACATATACAACAGGCCCCCTCACCCGTATAACTGGGGATACACCTCTAGCTATCCCTGACCTACCCCGAGTCCTCCACTAACGGGCTAGGGGAGGCTGTCTGGCCCGACACTGGTCAGTCGGGCTACGGTACCCGGAGTCCCAGAGTACTAACTCTGGTTCACGGGACCACGCCACTGGCTCCGTCCTGCACTGCCCTTATAAGGGCGGCGTCCCAGGGGAGTCCAGGGCCTATCTGGTCGATCTTCCGTCTTCCCCTATTTACTCTAAGACTCAACCCCGAGCTCTCTGGCTCATCCCTTTTTATACTCCCCCAGAGGATCACAACCCCCCCTCACGCCGCCCGGTGCGGACGTCGTTGCGGGCACCACCCCGTGTACTGGCGGAGTCCCCGCCCACTGTGTTTGTTATCCGTTAGATCCTATGCAAACAGCCCTACACAAACAGCCCCTCTGTAACAGCCCTACATCACCCCCCCCTGTACAGCTCGCAGCCGTCCCGGCTGCAACAACTTCAATAAAGGTTTATTAACCCCTTGATCTCCGCGTGTGCCTCAAAAAAACGTTTTTAACCATAACGTGAAGGGAACAACAACAAAAACCAACAAACCCCGAAGGGAACAATCCGACGCACCCCCCCTGAATAAATACGAATTCCGTAAGAGCGACGTATATACAGTTTTAGCAGGAAACCCTAGCACACACGCAACACAACGCAACACAATGTGGCAGGAGCTCCCCACCGACGCAGCACCCCGCAACCATACACAAGAGAAATAAGTCTCCTTTTAATGCATTATAAGAGTCTGCGCATTTTTGCGCGCGTCCTTGCTGCAGGCCCGTCACACGGGGCAACCCCGGATGGCGGACCGCCCGGTGGCAGCTGTTCATTCCGTATTGAGTCCGCGTTTGACGTCGCGAGACCCTCGGCATCCCCCGTAGCGGTGGTTGGGTGCGAGCCCGTCAATCCCGGTGCACCTGTGGGCGGGACAGCCGGCGACACGTCAGGCGAGGGCAGCAGAGACGGACCCTTTGAGTCGGCCGACTCCCCACATGTTTGGCCACGCGTGTGTGGAGTGGGGCCTCGCACCGCAACGAATGGTTTAAGTCTCGAGGGGTGCACAAACCACCGGCGCTTCCCCCATTTGATGCGAACACACTGAGGCCGCAGAACCTCGACCACCTCGACAGGACCCCTCCACGGCCGCCCCAGTTTAGAGGATGTCGCGAGTGGTACCTGGGGGCAGTGCAGCCATGCCCTGTCCCCCGGCTTCCACTGCAGCACGTGCGCGCGACCCAGTCTGAGGCGCTCATTTGCTTTCTGACGCTGTTCTGAATTTAGCATGGCAGCATCCCGTGCCTCAGTCAATTTAGCAAGGTTGAATTTAACATGGTCAATTAATTTAGTTTTACCCAGCGGCGTGGGGATCTGCAGCTGCGCCCAAACGGGTGGGTCAGGATCGCGGCCATACATGAGGAAGAAGGGTGAAAATCCCGTTGCAGCATGGGGGGCCAATCTGTATGCCGCCAAGACCCCTTGGATTTTCAAGTCCCAATCGGTCTGTGAGTCCGAAACCTGCTGTGATAACATAGACGAGATGGTGCGATGCAGACGCTCGACCATCCCGTCAGTTTGCGTGTGATAGGGGGAAGTACGAATCTTTTTTGTTCCTAGGAGCTCACAGACCTGTTGGAGGAGTTTTCCGGAAAAAATTTCTACCCTGGTCGGTCAGCAGCCGCTCCGGGGCACCTTTGTCCATGACATAACCTTGGACAAAGGCGTCGACGATGGCTGCTGCCGACTGATTGGCCAGGGGCCAGGCCATAGGCCAGCGCGTAAAGTACTCGACCCCGGTTAACAAATATCTATTACCCCTAGGGGTGGCGGGGAATGGACCCAGAATATCCAGTGCGACAAGTTCGTTCACTCTGGAGACCCTGATAGACTGCAAGGGCGGGTTTGATTCTCGTGCTGGTGGTTTTCGCTGCGCACACCGCGGGCATGAAGCCAACAGATCTGAGACATCCCTTGTCATGCCTTGCCAAAAGAAATCACGCTGGAGCAAGGCGAGGGTCTTTTGGGTACCCAGGTGGAGGAGGCGCTCATGAGCAGCCCACACCACCCTACCCCGTAAGCCAGAAGGGACCACCAGCCGGTGTCGGTGGGATTTCCCGTCCCAGTGCATCAGCAACCCCGCGTGCAATTCCCATGCGTCGGCATCACCCGATCCCCGCCCCGCCTCCCCGGCGCGACGACGCAACGCGAGGAGGGAGGTATCCTCCATCTGGAGGCGCCCCCATTCCTGAATGTGCAAACCCAGCAGGGAATCTTTCCCTTGTTGTTCAATAGAATTTGGAACAACTGTCCCGCCGTCGGCGGCGGCCGCAAGGACCGGAACCGACATGTCCCCTGCTGGCTTGCAACGTCCCGACCCCAGGAGGCATGCACATTCTGAGGTGGTTGGCATGCGCGACAGAGCGTCCGCGTTGGTGTGGCGAACGCCCTTACGGTAGGTGGTTTCGAAATCAAAATCCTGGAGGATCTCCAACCATCGGGACAATTGTCCCGATGGCTGTTGAACTCGCAGGGCGTACTGCAGTGCCGCATGATCTGTGCGGACGGTGAAACGCCGACCGTACAGATATGGGCGATACTGTTGGATGAAATAGACAATTGCCAACAGTTCTCTGCGGGTGACACAATATCTTTGCTCTGCTTGAGACAACACCCGACTGCCGTACGCAACCACCCGTTCGACGCCGTCAACCACCTGGGAAAGCACGCCCCCAATACCCGTGTTGCTCGCATCGGTGTCGAGCAGAAACGGTTTTGAAAAATCGGGGTAAATCAAGGGAGGAGCTTTTACCAGGGCGTCCCGAAGGGAGGAAAAAGCAGCCTCCTCCTCCTGACCCCAGTGGAACCGAACCCCTTTTGATGTTAAGGCGTGTAGGGGTTTGGCAATTGTTGCAAAGTCGGCGACGAACCGTCTGTAATACGACGCGAAGCCGACGAAACTCCTGACCTCTCCCACCGAGGTGGGAGTCGGCCAGGAGCTGACACACTGCGTTTTGGCGGGATCGGTAGCAATACCCGAGCGCCCTACGATGTGGCCCAAATAACGCACGGAATCGCGTAACAAATGACATTTTTGGGGCTTGAACTTCAAATTAGCAGCCCGCATCTTTAGGAAAACTGCCCGCAACCTCTGGAGATGTTCGTCAAAAGTTTTAGCGAAGACAATAACGTCATCCAAATAAATCAGGCACGACTCCCATTGCAATCCAGCCAAAACCAATTCCATCAAACGCTGGAAGGTTGCCGGCGCTGAGTGTAAGCCCATCGGCAACCGGTTGAATTGGAACAGGCCGTGCGGTGTACGGAAAGCAGTTTTAGGTTTCGATTCATCATCCAGAGGAAGCTGCCAGAATCCCGAAAGTAAATCCAGCGTGGAGAAGAATCGCGCTCCCGCCAAGGCGTCCAGCGATTCGTCCATCCGTGGGAGCGGGTATGCGTCGGCAACCGAAATTTTGTTAAGGCGCCGAAAATCAACACAAAACCGCAACGAGCCGTCCTGCTTTTTAACCAGGACGATCGGCGCTCCCCAAGGGCTGGTAGAGGGAGAAATAATGTCGGCGGCTAACATGTCATCAACGGCCAATTTGACATGGTCCTTTTCGGCGGGACTCAACCGAAACGGATTTTGGCGAATTGGCGCGCTGTCACCCGTGTCAATATGGTGACGCAGCAGATGAGTACAACCCAAATCGTATTTATTCCGACTAAAAACGTCGGAAAATTCCTGCAGTAGCGATCTAAGCTGTTGGCGCTCTGAATTTGACAGGTCCGTCGATCCCGCACAAAGCGCGTCGAGCCACCCGTCATCGCTGTCCGAATGTGGGTGCAGTCGGGCGGCGGTGCCGACATGATTCGCAACCGGTTCCTTGCAGGGCATCGGCGTCGCGTGCGCAAGCACCGTCCCTTGAGGAACTACAACAGTTTGCGATCCCACATTGAGGACCGCGATGAAAGGGTCCCCATCTCCCCTCACGACGGTCAGGGCCGGAATCAAATGCGGTCCACTAACCCCGGCCCTAGACGGTCCTAACAGGATTCCCTGGGCCCCGATGCCCTCCGCGAAGGGCCGACGAAGTCTTAGAGGCACTAACATTTGAGCTCCCGGCGGCACACGAACCGTTTCAACGACGGACGCTGGTATAGTTACGAACGCCGTCCGAATCACAGTAGGAGAAGGCAGGAACGCCATGCGCCGTCCCGACGGGAGCTCAATGCATCCCTGGTCTATTAAAATACGAATCG